GAAAGTGCCGTGTCTACGGCCTCGCTACGTATTACATTGGTATCATTTGCGGGACCGAAAGCAGTCGGGTATTTGGGGTAAAGCACATTGGGTTTTCTCTGCAGAACTATCCTACGTTTTTGACTTTCTTTAATAAAGCGTCCCTTGATACGACTGCCTAATAATTTGTTGGCCAAATCACTGCCCAAGTGGTCATCTTTACCACCATCACCGTAGGCGTCGCGGAAATTAACTTCTCTTCCCGAATAGTCAGCGCCCTTGTAGCAATTGAACCAACTCGACAGGACGTTGGGATGGTTTTGACGCCATCTGCGGACCACCAGCACTATGACACAGAATAAGATGATCATTGGAAGAGCAACGAGAAGTAAAATACTGGTAACCGGGTACAATAAAATAAGCTGAGGGAGGCGATGAAAATGGCTTGGCTTTGATCCGAAGTAGGAGACCCATTCTGATTGAAAATATATGTGGGCAAAACGAAATGGTGAGGGCAGGGCTATTGTTACGAGATCAATTCAGTTGGGAGTCAAATGAATCATAAGTAATTACAAAATTACCCTAAAGCTGGGGTTAATTAGACATCTGCCTAACGACCCAGTGAGAATTAAACACTACAAGAATCCACTATCCAGGACTAATCTTTCATCTAAAAGCAGAAGGGGGCAACACCATTAATACACGGACAGTGGTTCCTATGAAGACCATTAAATTGAACTAATCCAAGAGAATACTCGTAAAATGCAAAGTTCACTTTAGTTCGAGGGTCCCAGTTATGTGATGCGGTTTAGCGAAATTATTGCCGTAGTGATGATTTTTTATTAAAGATGATCATAATTATATTAAGAACTTTCATCGCCTCACTTCACATGATGTAAAAGATCATTATACCTCAAGATTTAATTGTTTTTCACATAATCTTGACTTCCAAAAGGCTATTTCATCTAAAGTGGAGTGCAGTTAAAACCTCGCCTATGTATAATTACCGCTTTCGAAATAATCCACCAAAACTGGATCGTGCGTACTAAATGGGATATATTACAATTCAGCCATAGTCACAGTAGAAATACTTCCAAAGTATACTCACCCCGATACTGAAGAGTAAGGAAACCTCGTCATTTACTTAACCATACAGGAAG